CACCNNGTCCTTTTTGATAAATATCAGAAGTATATTTTAAACTGTAAAGTGTCATTTCTAAATTGGAAAATGTTTGTAGTAAAATGATAAGTGTAACTTCTTTAGTGTATTATGTCTTCTGTTTTATCTCAAATGAATTATCTTTTTATTAAATATTTTTGGAAGATGCTAAATAAACTGTTTGAAAGGACTTTAGTTAAGTTACATGTGAATATAAACATTTGATTTTAGCATTTCAATCATTATGTTGTTTGAATTATAAGTAATAGGTAATAAGATATTTTACATTTGTCTTTGAATCAGTGAATAAGACAAATCGGTAGAGAATGGATTAATGGCGCAAATTGACCTCCATAGAGAACAACTCAAACTAACCAAATCCTCAATAAGTGTGTCAGACGACTTCACTCAACGAGTCCGAAATGTCCGAAAAGCGTTAATACCACATTTGATTGATGATAAGTCAAAAGACAAACGATCATTTTTGAAGTATGATAAGCTAGTAATAGAAAAACAATTGATCGATATCAACATGGAAACTAACCAACTTATCCCGATAACAACTGCGAAATAGCAAATAAATACTCAAGATAACTTAGAATCTTTACACAATACAAACATTCCCAAAACTAATTTAATAAACACTGATTCCCTATCGATACTTTCATGGAATTGTCAGAGCTTACGTAGGCATCTCGAAAACCTTGAACTCCAACGACAGTTGTTGACCTTTGACATTGTTGGCCTGAGTGAAACGGGGGTCTACAAAGAAAGTAATGACTACACACCAGAACTACATGTCTTGTAGAGCTAGGGAAAACACTTATTTTTAGTAAAAATTTCATTTAATATAGAAATAAAATATTTTTTTAAACAAGGATGGCCATTTCACCTGTTTTGCAAACATGAGTCAAAGTGTAGTAGACTATACGTAACAAGTAACGTATATCCACTGGTAAAATCGTTGAATGTCTTGGATATTGACGATTCCGATCATTTTCCAATAACGTGTCAATTAGTGATAAACTCGCAAGCTCAAGAAGTCAATGATCTTGACAAAAGTCGCCTAGTTAACAGGATATCCTATGTGTGGAAACCGGAGTTCAAAGACGAATTCCTCAAGCTACTAACAGATGATTATTCACAATCTCAGCTTATTAATTTATTAACGAATAAAAGTAGGGACACTAATCAAATAGTCCAAGAATTCAATGAAATCGTCGGGCGAGCAGCACAATCCATGTTTATAGGAAATAAACCGATTGCGAACCGAAACGATGGACAGTGTTGCCAACCCAAATGGTGGACCAAAGAATGTGAAGAACTCAAGAACATCAAACATAATAAATCAATACAGAAAAACATTATTCCAGGCTGATTTGGGTGAGTACAAAGCGGCGAGGAATAGATTCAAACGATTATGTGACTCACAGAAATTCAAATATCGTATCGAGTTAGAGAAAAGTCGAAAATTAAATTTGAACAATCCCAAGATATTTTGGCAAAATATTAAGTCACTTTTAGAGAGAAAACCTAACGTATCTAGAATTCCAGCAAACGATTGGTTAAGCTATTTTAGTCGTCTTTATAGCTACGATACAGATAATTCCATACAAAGTGTCTCTGAAAGAGTAAGTGTGAACGATCAGGTTTGTCAAGATTGCGAAACTGGTTTGCCAACCGAACCTAACTTGTTTATAGCGGAAGATGAAATCAGGAAAACAGTTTCATCTATGAAAAACAGGAAGGCGGCAGGGAACGATGGATTCTGCATTGAACTTATCAAAGAGTCGCAATTTGTAATGATTCCAATTCTTAGTAAACTTTTTAATGTCATATTTGAAACTGGTACGTATCCTACTGAATCGGGCAAAGCTATTATATGTCCAATCCACAAAGCCGGAAGTCCTATGTTAACAGATAGTTATCGAGGAATATCGCCGTTGTCTGTGATAAGTAAGATTTTTACGAAAATCTTAAACAATCGACTCAATAACTGGTGTGAACTGAACAATTGTATTTGTGAAAACCAAGCTGGGTTCCGTCGTCATTACTCGACCGTAGCGACATTTTCACACTACAAGGTCTCGTAAGCAAATATTTGTCTAAAAAGGGGGGTAGAGTGTACTGTTTCTTTATTGATTTCCATAAAGCATTTGATTCTGTCCAGCATAAACACTTATGGTCTACCTTGATAAATAGTGGTATCCATGGTAATTTTCTTAACATTATTCGAAATATGTATGATAAATGTAAGTCACATGTTTCTACCAGTGGTGGACTAACAGATTTCTTTGATTGCAACATAGGCACTCGTCAGGGCTGCATGCTGAGTCCTCTTCTGTTTTCTTTGTTCATAAATGAATACGTTCATGAGATGAATATATCTGAATGTAAAGGCATATACATATCAGAAAAGTTCCCTAACACGTGATATTATTTGCTGATGACATCGGAAATATTGCAGATAGGTCATGTATGGATAGTAGGCAATACCCAGATATTCTTATCACTCTTTAAACAAAGGGAATGTATTTGGAATATCCAAATTACGGAAAATTCACGACTATCTAGTTATTGCCAATATAAAACCTTATTACAACCTGAAAAATATCTATATTCTGTATGTATATTTAAATATAAACGTGTACTATGTAAGTTGAGATGTGGAGCAATTGGTCTAACGGCGACAGTAGGAAAATGGTTACTTATACCGATTGAAAAGAGAACATGTAAATTATGTGTTTTAAGTGAGATTGAAGATGACTATCACTTTATAGTTAGATGCACAAAATTCCACGATCTTAGATTGAAATACTTAAATATAAATACATGTACATATAATGAATACATTCGGTTAATGTCCAGTTGTAATCCCAGGGTGACTCTGAATTTATGTAAATATATATATCACGCATGTATGATTAGAACTAAGAGCCTAAATGAAATGAAGTAAACTAAGTAAAATGTTATATGTAAAGAAAATTTTTTCGGATTGTAAATATAGACCTGTCAATTACAATTAACTAAGATTTAAAATTTATTTGTTATCAATAAATATATTATGCATATAAAATATAACCAAATTGTAAATTTATACTAGCTTTACCACTAGTACCTTAATTATAATATCGCACTTAAATCAACTATAAATGAACACCTAAATGTAAATGTACTTTGGGCTTATATATATGAATAAACTATTATTATTATTATTCATCTCTCGAAAGCTGAAACTTCTGGCCAGAATCAGCCCTCTGGCTTCTACCTTCAGCCAAAATATCCACCAAAGAAATATTTGAGGAATCCATTATCAAAATCAAAGAGAGACCCCAAAAATAGTGTAAAATTACAGTAGAAAGACCAAGTAGTCGACGAATAAGTGTATAATGATAATACAACTCAAGATTTCTACCTCGTTATAGACTACGTCACTACGTAGTCACGTGAGAAGCGCCAAAGCTGTAACCGTCAGTGTGCTCTTAGCTGTCGAGTGGTGTAGACGTCTCTCTATACTCTCGCTCCGTCAAACATTCACACTTTTAAACTTTGTGTTTCTAGTAACCAAAGTTTTGTTTGAAGATTCGTTGACTGATTGTCCGAATCATTCCTGTTAACAAATTCGATTGTTTTTCATCGAATTGTTAGAATGGCGGATGGTTTAAAAAATCCCGTCTTGGCGTCTGCTTCTGATTCAGACTCCGATGATTTGCCTCGTGGTACTCAAAAACTGGCTTCTACTAAGAAGATAGATAGTAGTCAGTTGATCCTGCCTGGAACTTCGAAATCAGAGATAACTTCTTTACAAGTAGGGAACAATTTTCTCAAGAATATTGAGACCAGTATGGACCATATGGCACAATTTATGGGATCCATGAACGAGGCCTTTACCGGACTTGCTGAAGAAAAACGAAAGCTCCCGGAGGAATTTATCATTCCCAAGAAGAAAGCCCGTCGTCGAGTGTCTGACACTTCTTCAGATGAGGCTGAAAAAGATTTTATTGCCATGGCTAATGTTAATCGGCCAAAGTCCTATAAAGGTCACGATATTTCTGACTCTGATGAGGAAAATACAAACCGCTCCAACTTGACGAAGGTCAAGGTGATGGGGGTGCCAGTAGTAGTTTCGATAGTTTTCTTGACAACGTTGAAGACGAGCTACAACTTTGCTCTAAATCAGGTCAGAAAATCAATGATAAATTAGCCAAGTTTGTCACTAAAAGATTCGAGACGCGTCTATCATTCGACAAACTCAAAGAACGAATTGATAAATACAGTATACCCCGTAATTGCGAGGGTGTTTATGTGCCTGAGGTAAATTTACCCATCAAGTCGAAGCTCAACCGTTTTATCAGGGGTTTGGATACTCGCACTTCTAATATACAGAGAACAATTGTTTCGGCAAGCTCTGCTGTCATTGAATGTCTGGAACTAGTATCTTCAAATATGGTGGCTATGAATGGTGCTCCTGAACTTGTCTCAAAACTCACAGATGCTGTGAGCATGTTGGGAATCTCCCCTTTTGGTTTAGACTCGGGGTTATATTTATTGTTTAGTATTCAGTGGTAGTTAGTTAGGTTATTGGATGTAAATAAAGTGTTTGTTAATATTGTAAGCGTTAGTATCAATTGAAGGAAAGTGTCCGTATCCAGTCTCTTACAAACGACTATACAGTTGGTAAGAATAAACTACTTTGCAGTTTGCAAGTAGAACCCAACAAACAAGTATGCCAATAAGCAGCTTGTTTATAGGGGCGTGCCAATTATGACATTTCTTTGAGAAGAAGAGAATACCTTCGGCCTTACATCCAAGATGATTATATGATTACAGGCCATTATGTGGACAGATGGTTCCTGTAACCAAACTACTTTTTGGAGACGATCTTCAAAAAGAAATGGAAGAAGTTTGTGAAACGAATTTGATAGCAAATACTGTCAACAAATCTAAGGGAAATTACTCCTCCTACAACCATAATCGATTCGACAATAGTAAAAGTCATCATGGTGCCAGTGGTGGATATCAGAAATACCCTTTTCGCGAAAGAGGTCGGGGGAACTTCAAGAAGAAAAGCTATGCCCACAAACCAAAAAGCGAAAAATAGAAGATATTTTAAAAGTGGTACGTATAGATTCTAATTTCATACATCTAAAAAATTATTTTATTGACAAAAAGTCATTGTTCAAAGGAGGCTCAATTTCACACCACTTTGATAGTTGGAATAGCTTAACACCTGACCCTGAAATATTGGATATTGTTCAGGGTGCACATAAACCGTTTGAGCATATGCCAAAACAAAGGCGTATTCCTTTTGACATTAATTTTTCTGATACAGAATCAAACATAATTGATCAGGAAATTGAGAAACTCTTATCTAAAGGTATAATAGAAAAAGTTAATTACAAACAAGATGAATACATTTCAACAATATTTATTCGTGAAAAGAAAGATAAAACACACAGAATGATTTTGAATTTAAGAATACTCAATGATATGGTCGAATATCAGCATTTTAAAATGGAGTGTCTTGGTTCCGCCTTAAAAATGGTGAAACAAAGTTGTTGGATGAGTACTTTGGACTTATGTGATGCTTATTATTATTGTCCTATAGCAGTCGAACATAGAAAATATTTAAGATTTTTCTGGCGAAATGATATCAATACAAAGTGTTTCCTAGTGGATTGGCTTGTTGTCCGAGACAATTTAGCAAACTTCTTAAACCAGTGTACGCTAAACTTCGATTACTGGGTCATCTGTCTGTACCATACCTCGACGATTGTTATTCACAAGGGAACAGTTATGAGGAGTGTTTACTCAATGTCATAGATACGGTATTATTATTTGATGCTCTTGGGTTTGTAGTACATCCGACTAAATCCTTATTCAAGCCTGTACAGTGCATCACTTTCCTGGGATTTTTGATTGACAGTGCGTTTAACTCCTAGTAAAATAGAGAAAGTAGAACTGGCCTGTAAAAAATTATTGAATGAAACTCAAATTACAATAAGAGATGTTTCTATCGTTTTAGGTTTAATGACATCCAGTTTCCCTGGAACTTCATATGGGGCATTGTATTACAGAGATTTATAAAATGAGAAAACTGTAGCTTTGAAACATAATATAGGTAATTTCGAAGCATCTATAATTCTTGGATCACTAGCCAAAAAAGAATTAACTTGGTGGGTACAGTCATTGAAATTCGCATACAATGTTATTGATCACGGTTCCCCTGATGTTACTATTTATACTGATGCTAGCAAAAAAGGTTGGGGGGTGTACAGAATGACTATACTACTGGTGGAAACTGGACTGCAATTGAGAAAGATAACCATATTAATTATTTAGAATCGTATGCAGTGTTACTGACATTAAGATCATTTAGATTAAAGCTAGAAAGTAAACATGTGAAAGTCATGATGGATAATACTACTGGCATTGCTTGTATCAATCACATGGGTACTAGTCACTCAAATTCGTGTAATATAATTACAACATTGATTTGGGAGTGGTGTATATTAAACAATGTTTGGCTTTCTGCAGCACACATTCCTGGAGTTGAAAATATTCTAGCGGACAGAGAAAGTAGACAAGATAGGCGAGAAAAAGAATGGAAATTAAATAGTGAATTTCTTAAAGGTGCTTTGAGGAAGCTACAGGTTTCTCCTGATCTTGATCTCTTTGCGTCGAGAATAAATACCCAATTCCCAAAATATGTGGCAAATAGACCTGATCCCAATGCCTTCGCTATTGATGCATTCTCCATTAGGTGGTGTAAAAATTTTTATATGTTTCCTCCTTTCAGTGTTCTGACACAAGCCCTCCAGAAGATAGAGAGGGAAAGGAGTACAGGTATAGTTGTGGCACCCTTCTGGACGACCCAGATCTGGTTTCCAATGTTGATTCGATTATTAGTGAACAGACCACTGGTATTACCAAAAGGGAGACAACTCTTGTTTTTACCTCAGGAACCAAACCTACCTCACCCCATGTTCAAAAAGCTACAACTTCTGGTTTGTCACTTGTCCGGCGATCCCTCAATAAGGGAAAGTTTTCAGAGCAGGCTAAAGACCTCATACTTAAAAGTTGGAGACCTGGGACTCAAAAACAGTACAAAACCCATCTCGACAGATGGGAACGTTATTGTGAGCAGAGGGAGATTAATCCATCTTTAGAAGACGGTGTTAATTTCCTTGCAGAACTTTTCTCTACTGGACTTGGTTATAGTTCAATAAACACTGCTCAATGTGCATTATCGTCAGTTACAACTTTTCAATGGATTGTCTTTCGGTAAACATTATGTTGTGAAATTCATGAAAGGTGTTTTTGAATCTAGACCTTCTTTACCTAAACATTCTTTAATTTGGAATGTCAGTGATGTATTAGACTACTTGAAGACGATGTCTCCAGGTCATACACTGTCACTCAAACACCTGGCTCTCAAAGTGGTGATGTTGTTAGCTTTATTGACTGGTCAAAGAAAAAACAATTCATTTAGTTGATATCAATCATATGAAATTAACAGATTCTAGATGTGTTATCTTTATACGTTCTGTGTTAAAACATACACGACCTGGGTCTCATTTAGAACCAATCATTTTGAAAGCTTTTGCACCTGATAGAAGATTGTGCATTGTGACTTACATCAAGCATTATTTGAAAGTTGTACTCTCTCTGGCTGGTATTGATACTGGAATTTTTCAGGCTCATAGTACACGTGCAGCTAGTACATCTAGTGCGAATTCCAAAGGTCTTAGTTTGGATATTATCTTGAAGGCTGCCGGATGGTCCAATGCTGGAACTTTTTCAAAATATTATAGTCAAACAGTTTTAGAAAATGGAAACTTTGGAGAATCTGTACTCAAATGAACTCATCTTAGGCTTGTGTTAGAGCAACTTGTGTTTCAGAGCTTTTTAGTTATTTGTTAATCTGATAATATGATTTGTTCAAATAATGTGTATTGCATTGATAATGTATGTTATGTAATAATTTGAAACATAAAGTATATGTTTTAATTTTGTTCAAATAATGTGTATTGCATTGTGGTTCTACCGAGTCATGGACAGGAACGGAGTGGTCAAGTGCCCTCCCTTGGATTATCCCTCCCTGTTCAATTACAAGATGTGTTCCTTCATCTTTAAATACTGACAGCTTTGGCGCTTCTCACTTGACCACTCCGTTCCTCTCCATGACTCGGTAGAACCACAATCAAACTTCAACTTACAAGTAAGTCTCGTTTAATTATTCAATTAAACAAACAATACGCAACTAACAATCAGCGACCTAACACGACTGGCGAGTTCGACCTGAATGACTTATTCATGAACATGAACGCAAATTACTTTAACTAACAACTCATTACGTATTACTACGCAACCTAAGAGAAATCATTTTCCGTCTAATTCTGTTCCCTCAACCGATGGAAAATATTTTTTATACTTTCTAATACTTCTGAAGACTATTTCCATAATTTCAAGAGCCCCAAAAATTGTGAATCTGACCCTTAAAAGTAGGAAGAGTTCATACCAGCTGGGTGCTACAGAATCGAACTCCAGTCTCTGACCTTCTATTGCTAGAGATGAAATATTTCTTGTTTTTGAATGATGGAAAATGCTTGTTACAAACCCCAAATGTAAAAAAAAAAAAAAAAGACAAATCTTTAAACTGATAATTTTATTCAAATCGACAATTTAATCTTAATAGTCACTACTCAGACCACGTGACTTTATGGTGTATTAACGAAATCAAAACCAGATTTCTCTACAATGGCACCTGGTTCATCGTTAACTACCGCCAATCCATCTGTATTCGTTATAGTGGTGAAGTCAGTATTGTATAAATAGCATTTTTCTAAAAGAGATTCATAAAATATTGTCAAACATCTTGGTTCATCTTTACATTTTTGGATGCATTCGGAAACTCTTGCAGTGTTGTAATAGATGAAGATGACTGGTTTTCTATATAAGTCACATATACCATGGACTCCTGGAGTATAGCCACACTTGGGTGTTGTAGCACATTCTTCTGTACAATTATTGATTCTATATCTTTCATCCATTTTATTTCCATTCACTACTGCTTTAAGTACCACTGAAATATAAATCGTATTGTTATTGCAATAGTTTACAGAGGACAGAATTCGTTAAGAAAGAACCATTACAGGCCTGACAAATTTAGATGACTTGAATGACTATAGTTGAGCCCCCTTTAAAAAATGGCTCTTGGAGATCCAGGCCGTTATGATAAAAAGATTGAAGAATCTTCAAACAAATCTTTTTGGCCTTAGAAGGTAGCAAATATTTACACGATTTTATATTTCGTCAGAATACGAGATATATATTGGTTCAGAAAACGAGAATATGATTTGACTGACGCATCTTACAAAAGTCGATAAAACCAAGCCCCCTTATGGATTAATTACTTTTATTTTCATAAAACAGATGGATTTACTCAAATAGCTTCGCACAAGGCCGTGTATTACATATAATGACGTAACGGCTTTGAAGGTTTGAATACCATTTATTCGGAAAGGACAACATCAGGAACAATAAACATCAATACAGGTACAACAGAGGAACATCAATACAGGTAAAATACACGAACATCAATACAGGTAAAATACACGAACATCAATACAGGTAAAATACAGGAACATCAATACAGGTAAAATACAGGAACATCAATACAGGTAAAATACAGGAACATCAATGCGGGTAAAATACAGGAACATCAATACAGGTAAAATACAGGAACATCAATACAGGTAAAATACACGAACATCAATACAGGTAAAATACAGGAACATCAATACGGGTAAAATATAGGAACATCAATAACGGTAAAATACAGGAACATCTAAACTCTATCATCCCGAGAGAAAAAGGGCGGGGCCCAGCGGGAAACTGGACTCTCTTTAACTAGAGTTCTACCTAGATCCCCCTTCGATCTCTCCTAGATCTCCCTCGAATCAGGTACAATTCCCTTTTGTCAGACTCAAACATATGAACTATATTCTGATTGGTTGAAACCTAAGCGTCCATATCCTTGAAACCTGATTGGATAAAGCTAATGCAAGAAGGGCGTTGATTGGTCGAGGGGCTGACCATGAGAATGTTGACATTTGTTGACATAGGAACACAATGCATAATCTTTTATAATACTTGATAAGTATAAGCTGAATTTGTTGGTCAGAACAAAGAGGTATTATTGTCAAGGACTAAAGGTGTTAAAAGGCTACGTAGTATTATCTAATATACTACCCTTAGATGTAGATGCTACATTAGCAATGACAACAGACATTTAATTTCAAGTAGCCAAGGTGTTAATTGACCCCTTAAAATATTCTATTCGTACCTGTTCTGACACTCATTGCTAGTCAACCCTAATAATACATTGTGTAACGCGTGATATTAAACCAATCAAAACAATCTTTTTGGCGTGTGTGTTCTTTACATTCGGCAATCCTCGGCAGTTTCCGAAAGCTGAATCTGACACGGTAATGAATAGTTTACTTTATGTTTTAAATTGTCACTGGATCGCTCAAATATCTTCGTACCTATTCACAATAGAAACCCCAAATCTGTTACCTTGACAAGCTTTCTGTTCTGTCCAAGTACCATTTTCCTCACACCTCAGAGTACCAGTTTCAACGAAGCCAACAGAGCAGCTAAAATGAAAAAGTCCTCCAACAATACTGGATTCTGTTACATCATCAGAGAGAGTGATAATCTCACCTTGTGGACACCCTACAGCTAAAATGTTAAAATGAATTTGTCAGTAGAGTTGGGTGAAATTATTCTAAAGTTAATTCAGAAAGATGGTTTATATGGCAAGCTGTGTGTGTAGCCAGTTGAACATTTAAAATGGAAATCTTCATCAATTCTTCTGGATCTGTTACATCATCAAAGTTAGCAATCATTCCACCTTGTGGACACTCTAAAGCTGAGATAGTAAATAAAATTTATCAGGCAATAAATTATTATTCCCGAAATTCTCGAAGCCACCCTTTGATGTTGATTCCAATTCAGAACCCACAAGAAGCCAGCTGATTTCAGATGGCCCGCGATATATTTAGTGGGCTTAGTTCTTACTTCAAAATAAGAAATTCCACTGCCCGAGGGCCCACTCTGTAAATACACAACTGCTTACCTTCACAAGCTGGTTCCAAAATCCAGCCACCGTTTTCACAGGTGGTCTGAACTATTGATTCATATCCTTTTTTGCACTTGTATCGTTTATTTTCGTCACATGTCGGTTCCCACATTGCATTTATTGGCAGAACGTACTTCTCACAATCTACACAAAATAAGATAGGTGTTAACATAAAGTTCTTTTATTTATAATTTCAAAAACAAGTTAATAGGTTCTAAACCACAGTAGAAATTAGGCCACGATTTGCTAATTTGTGCTTAGTCATAGAGATTGAGAGCTGGTAAAGAGGTTTTCTAAATTTGGTTTTGTATATCGGGGACAAATTGATGTTATACACATAAAAAAATTGATTGAATTACTATTGATATATTATATAATATTTAGTAAACTAGAATAATGAAGGTAATTTTGAAAGGTTATTTCACATTTTGAATCTTAGACCTAAAATAAAAATCTTAAAACAGCATTTTTATCAGACATATCTTTCTGAAATAACAAAGAAGAAAAGTTACTACTGACATTTTATAAAGAATTGTTTCCCAGTCCTCTTCAATCACAGCAATCTCTACTATACTTACCTGGTGTTTGTCTTTTTAACATGAAGGGGTAATTCTTGGGACTGGCCACTGGTAATGTTCCAGCCCACAGAAAGACCACCATCAACATCAAATTAGCATTGACCATCATATTGATTCGATATTCGAGTTGTATGAACAGTGAAGATTGTGTGAGTTTATATAGAGAATGAGAGACAGAGTGGGTTAATTTGTTACATCGAGCGGAAACAGTTAATGAGTTGTCGATATTCACGGCTTTCGAGTTGAGCTCGAAACTGTATTGTTTTCGTTAATTTTTTTTTTTTTTTTATAATTGTTGTCAGAGTACCTAGCAAAAACTGTAATAGTTAGAACATTTTTGGCATTGCAGCAGACATTTCAGACCGCGGAATTACATTTATATTTATTTTCAGACATCAGACTAGAAACCGTAAATGATGTAGCAGAAAACTTTTGAATTTCAGAAATCTGCCATAAACGCTTATTGTTTGTTCTATTTGCGTCAAAGTTTTTGTGTGTATTTTTGAAAGAACTTCCAGGGAGACTGCAGTTTAGAAAATCCTTTTTGTACTGAATTTTGGTTAAAATTCTAAGTCCTTTAATTTTTACTCGATTTTTACGAAACTTGGTAGATGCGTAGAGACCAAATTGATAATTATGATTATTCAAAAACATTTTCCAAAATATTTCGGAAAATGGTTGAAAATATCTGAAAAATCAGAGTTTTTGGACTATGTTTTGCAAAAACTGTCAAATTTGTAATTCAAAAGATTTATACCATCAACATCTTCATTTTGTATCTAACAGTTACTAATAGTTTAGCTGCCATCTTGAAAATTTCAAAAAATCTTAAAAATTTAATGCAGACTACATTTTTAATCCGATTGTTCTTAAACTTGTTTAAAATGTAAGAAAGAAAAATACCCAGAAGGCCTTTTTTTCAATTTCAGCTTTCGATTTTCGGTGATTTTAATCTTTGACTCTTGATTGAGTTCTGATTAACTTAGCGATAGAATTCGAACAGATTCATAATGCACTTTTTAACAGCTTTAAATAAATATATAAAATAATAAAATGTTATCAAAATTTGAGAAATCGATTTTAAATAATACTATTAATTAGTAGAGATTATAATGAGTTAAAAAGATTATGTACGGTGGTTCGTATACGACAACATTTATTTTTCAATGTTGGATTAAAAACTTGAATTTTGCCCCCTCCAAACATCTGCCTCTATTCTAGCCTCTGATAGCTAGTTGACAGTTGTCGGATGGAATAGAAACAGATGTTTGGGACTAACTATGTATATATATTCTGTAGGTTAAAACGTGTAATTATCGATGAGTCAGTTTCACCAGACATATCTAATGTATACAGTTAGTAGACAGAAGTTGTTTTAATGAGACATATCAAATCGTATATCTATGACATATGAATACTTTGAAATATGTTTAGAGTTGGCTGCCAGATCCCAATAATTCTTCTTCAAATCGTCAAGCAAATGTGGACTATTCGTGAAAAAAACCTCTCTGTATACACAAAAACTGTTCTAGGCTGGGTTCAGTGGACTTTATTACTACCAGGAGTAGCCCGACCAATCTGGCCATACCATTGATGACTCATTAATGGTTCAGCTTTCCATACCTTCGAATTAACCTTCGGCAATTCTCGTTAGTTTCCGTGAGTTGAACACTACTCGCAATCAAAGGGTGACATCTTGCCAGGTAAATGGGCAAGAACAGACAACTCTGTCTGAAGATTGATTTGAATTAGCAAGAAAAACGTAGTGATTTTCAAGCAGTTAAATCAATGTGTAATTAGAAAATTCGCAAGACGAAAAAGTTTTTATATAAAAAAAATAACAATATTTCCTGAATAATAGTTGGTTGTTCTATTATGATATATACCTCATGTAAAATAACCACTTACTGAATATAGATTCACAAACTGGATGACATACTTCATTTCTGTAGCTCGGACATACTTCATTTGAACAGAAAGAAACCTGAACTATTTTATTTTCAATATGGAAATCTGTGTGTAATATCCTAGGGTAACTAGCAGCATTCTAGCCCCGATGTTGATACAAGTGCCTTCTATAGATACCAAAAATTATGCCAAATTATGCCGATATCCCGTTTGTCACGTATGGATAAGGCCAGATTTGTCAGACCAGGTCAGGAGTACAACCTATTCACTTATTTATAGATGGGTAGACTGGAATAATAAGGAAAAATTAACTTTTTAAGAACCCATTTACAGCTTGGTAGACTGGGATATTTTACGGGGTTTTTGTCGGCATTGAATAAAGGGTCATTAAAATAAATATTGTTGTTGGTGAATAAGGTGAGTATCTGTTGGTGGATTGAGAAGAGTTGTGACACCACATCCATCTTTAGCTTTCATTGGTTGCTTCAAGAAAAATGTTTTCGAGAAAATCAATGAGCATCAATTTTGAATTTGTACAATGTCCATCCTGCGGCTAATTAAAACATGAGCATATACCAATGCTTTTTATACGACCACATGCAATTGGGGGTTGGGGGGGGGGGGGGGGGGGGGA